TTTTTTTTTTTTAATGCTTAAGCTAACCCAAAAGAAACATGCAGCTTGGAATCAAATAGAAAGGATCTCCGGGTCCCAAGGGTTAGTGCTTTGCAAATTGTTGACATATCTTCTTACCCTTTTTTAAAACCCCAGCTTCAAACTCCCTGGCTAACCAAGATAATACCATGGTCCGTAACCATAGAGTCTAAGAGGCTATTGACTAGAAAGGGTCAATTTCAAGAAGTGACTGCTGAAAAGTAATTTTTTTTTAAATGTAACACATTCTCCTGCCTTATTAGGTCTTTGCATTTTCCACTCTTTGGAAAGCGCCATCCCTGAAGTATTTGGTGATATATCAAACTGTCAGCCACATTTGATTCCCAGTTAAAGACTAGGCCAAGGGTTCCCAGAAGCACATGGTGTGTCCGACGTGCTGCAGAAGCTGGTGCTGCATTTCTTTTTAGCCTTTGCGTCAGATGGCGGGCCGTGTTGGCTCAGACACTGTAAGCTTGCCCGCAGCCACGGCCCTTTGCACCGTGGGAGCTGGGCCCTGCTCTAAGCTGCTGCCACTGTTCCTCTCAACAGAGTTGATGTCATGCGACGGCCTACACTCCGTCTTACACTTGGTGCTCCAGGCTGGGAATATCATGAATGCAGTGAGTAGAATTGAAACGGTGACAAAGTCGTTTTTTCCACTCTGATATTGGTGTCTCTAAAGTATGTGTAACTCTCGGCTTTTGCTGTGTCTTCCTCAGGGAGGATGTGCTGGCAATGCCGTGGGCTTTAAACTGTCGTCTTTGCTCAAATTGGCAGACACAAAAGCGAATAAGCCTGGGATGAATCTTCTGCACTTTGTTGCCCAGGTATGTGAGGTGATTACTGCGGAGGGTGCACGGGAAGCCGCCTTAGAGGCCGTGAAGTGTTTCCCAGGCGTCAGGGGGCATCAGGCAGATTCAGGGGAAGGGCCCGGTGTGGCTGAAGAAGGCTCCGTGTGCAGAAGTGTGATTGGCACATTCCTGAGGCAAGTGGTGCTTTGGGGAGTGCTTGCTGGGCTCCCTGGAGCCCTTTCCAACTCACAGAGATTCTACGTACAGCAGACCGCTCTGGCGCCGTCCTCGCAACTGTCCTGATAGTGGACAGCCCGTCCATCTCCTCCAGGTGCTTCTTCAACGACCTTCTACTTTATCAAGCCCGGTGCCCTTCTCGAGGGGTTGCTCCCTCCAGATAACATCCCCAAAGCACCCAAGAGGAAATCTCCCCACGTTTCCTTCTAAGGAGCATCCTGGCTCTACTTCTTCCACAGCAGAGTTCTTCCTTCTGGCAGCCCATGGCATTTTCTAGATCCTTCCCCAACACCATAATTCAAATGCGTGAATTCTTCCCTGCTCTTCCATATTCATTGACCGTATTCCACGTGCGACCATGGAAGAGACCATGGTTCGGGTCCAGGTCTTGGATGCTGGTCGTCAAAGGGACAACTTTGCTTCAGAACACCGTCAAGAAGTATTTTGCAGCAGATTTGCCCAGCGCACTGTGACTAATATCTCGGTCCCTGCCTCCATGGGCACTGACTAAGGATCCAAGTAAACGGACCCTCGCCAACCTCCGTCTTTTCCCCATCGCTCCCGCTCGGGTCCGAGGGCTCGACAGAAGTAGGGGAGATGGAAGTAGAGTTGGTGGGACAAGACTGGTGAACTCATGTGCCAAAGGTTTCTTGTTTTAGCCATGGGAAATCCGCTGAAGTTTGTGCGCAGCAGAATGGCATGCCAGTTTGGGAAAGAAGGTGGGTTGGAGCAGAGAGAGCCCTGGAATTAGGGAGGCCACGCAGGGGGCGTTGCTCAAGTTGTCGGGCGAGTGTGACGCCATCACAGCCATAGAGGGGGAGGACTGGCTCTTCCACACGAATTGGCTAGCTTTGTGATCCAGTCCATGTAAAGAGCAAGGGGACTGGACCCGTTAACAATATAACTTCTTTAAAAAAATCTCAGATAACTCCTTGAGGAGTGTGTGTGTGTGTGTGTGTGTGTGTGTGTGTGTGTGATCTTCCTTATTGAATCAACTTGCGTTGACACTGCTCACACAGACAAGGCTTTACTCTGGGAAGTAAGGCGGCTATTGGGGTGTGAAGCACGTGTGCTTTAGCCCGAGCCAGAATGGGAAGCAGCTTTGGAATCCTGTGTTTAAGTGCGCCTTCGTAGACAGGCAGCTTTCAGCCCCTCGGTGCCCACAGCTAATAAAGATGGCCGCCATCTAATGGACTCTGGTTCGTGGTGAAGCCAGAGTTTTTAGATGACTGATTTTGGGGTATAGATGGAGTGAGTTTTCTTCTGAGGTCCTTGTGAGTCAACCCCAACACCCCACCTGTCAGTTAGCACTGAGCATGTTGACTGTTGCAGCGCACACGGAGGGATTTTAGGGGAGAGGCATACGCATGTAAAAACCAAGTAACAGAGTGTCAAAAGAGATAATTCATAAATCGCTTGGCTCCAGGATTAGCCTATAATAAGCTCTCCATAAATGGTATATACTATCATTACCCCAGAAGACAGATAGCATGTTTAGCTGGGTACTTAACTGACAAATTAATTTGCAGAACGTTAAGACAAGAAGCGTGCTTCTCCAGAGTGGAGAGCAGCGTTCTTTTAGGGCCCTGTTTCCATTCGTCCTGGGTCACTTGGTCCCACCCTGTCCATTTGGGGAAGCTACCTTAGTCAGTAATTGCCCCTCGCCCACATGCCTGAGTCTCACCCTCTGAACAGGAAAAGAATCCTAACACCTCGGTGGCAAGTACACCTTTTGATTAAGCTCAGTTTGAGAACTGGTTTGGCAGCTGCAGGTATCTTGATCATTTAAAGGCATACTCACAGGTATGGCTGGTATTTAAGCGGATATATTGGATTCTCTTAGAAACAATGGGCCTTGCTAAACTGATACCTCCTTCCATTGAGTGCTAATGCACACGAATTGTATTTCAGGTCAGGATAAATTGCTCTGGGAAGTCAAATGTATCTCAACAGTAGGGCATTCTGGTAAATCTTACTAAGAATGTCAGAGTTCAAGTCTCAGGGAATTAGCTTTGAATCCGCCAGGCGAGCAAATGGGAACAGTGATTTTCAGGCTCCTTTAAGACCCAGGGCGAACAAAAATTGTTCCCTTCCAATGTTATTCATATAGTGAGAAAATTCTGCTTTTGTTCCAGGAAGCCCAAAAGAAAGATGTCACTCTTCTGAACTTTTCAGAGAAATTGCACCACGTTCAGGAGGCTGCTCGGTAAGCCAGGAAGACGGGGTGACTGAGGGTGCAAGAGCGTGTTGTTGTTTCATCTCAGGTGGCCTTCTCATGCAAGCTCAAGAGTATTTATGGCTTTGCGATGCCAGCTGGACATGAGAAAGTTTTATCCTACTGAAGTTTTAGGCCTTTTCATCTACGTCTATATATGTGCACCTTTGGACTCCGGGAGTTTTGAGCACTTCATCATTATTTTTAGTCTTAAAAAACACGATTGCAGTCTATTCTAATGACTGTCTTCCGTGTATAACACATGTGGATTGCACACATCAACTCCGTCCACACCCAAAAGGCAGCGCTCCCTACACAACCTGTGGCTTTGGAAGTGCTGTCGATCACACTTCCATGGCCTCAAATCACCGTTCCTTGTGGGAGCCAGCCTGGACATTGCTACTCTGTGGCATTGGAAGGAACTGGAACGGAGCCAAGGGCTGTGAAAGGAGTTCTTTTTACATTAGTCATTCAACTATCCAGACACAGCATCTCCCGGACATAAAGCTTTATTTATATCACTCTAATTTGTTTCTGACCCTAATAGACATGGCTGTTTTTATGTCGTGATAGTCCATGGGTTTTTGCCATTTTGAGTTCTGCTCTTTAGAATGTCTAAAACTACGTATCCAGTGGCAAGTGTTCACTAACCCTCTTTTGAGGAGGTAGAAAGAAAGCCCTCATTTGTAGCATTTGCTGTTTCCCATGGTGCAAAACTGCCTGCCGTCCCTGATTTCCAGATGCGATATGACCAACTGCAGAGATGGCTGGGAGAGTGTGCTTCGGCACACCACTCCACGCATCAGTCCAGTTCATGAATTAATCGAGTCTCTGACAGATGGGAGCCGGGGCTTTTTAAATCTTCCCCCTGTTAACGGACCACCGAAATGGAAACGCGTTGCCGTCAGGCTGATTTTTGACTCATGTCAACCTCGTGTGTGTGTGCGAGTGGGAACTGCTCCCCTGGGTTTTCAGGGGTTGATTTCCCCCCGAGGATTGCCAGGACTTTCTTCGGGGGGCCTCTGGGTGTACCCAAACCACCCCCTTTTCAGTTAATAGCCAACATGTTTAACTGTTTGCACCAACCAGGGACTATCATTGGCCAGTGTCTTAATATTAGTGACTCCTCTCACATCCTTGTATGTGAGGTGTGTGTGTGCACATGCAGGTGGTGTAGTGGGTTTTGCTAACATCAAGGTCAGCAGGTCAAAACCACCAGCTGCTCCATGGGAAAAAGATGACACTTTCTAGTTCCCATAAAGAGTTAGTCTTGGAAACTCACAGGGGGCAGTTCTACTCTGTCCCCTAGGGCTGCTATGAGTTGGAATCGACTCGATGGCAGTGAGAAATATACGTCGATCACCAATTACATGTCTGGCCCAAAGCAAGATTATTATTTCAAAGATATAAAAGAGTTCAACACTCATGTTCACTGATGACCCAGTTCTTCTACAAGATACCGACTGGTTTGTGTTCACTTTATTAAAAGAAACATATGCCGGACTAGCGTTACTCTGACTAGTATTGAAATGTTACTGTGAGTCAGAAGAAGTGAAATAATCATGAAAGAATGTCTTTGAACTGGCATTTCTAAGGACCGTTAGGTGGGGAGGGTTAGCTGCATAGTCTTCTAAGACAGACTCGGTAAGTGAGGTGTGCTTATTTGAAATGGAAGGTGAAGTACAAACAGATCATGTTTGCTCATAAATACTGATGGTGGGGAACATTTTTGTTTGGAGAAAGATGAGACTTGAGTATAGGAATTTGAAGGCATCCAAATTTATGAATTTGATCACTGAATTCCACTGTTGACCAGGAGACAAAAACCACTCCTGTTCTACGAAGCTTGATGCCCAGGAGGCAACAGCAGCGTTACAGTCTGTCTCCCCATTTCTTTGCAGACCCGTGAGCTGTGTGCTTGTCCTCTGGGAGAGACAGAGTGCTGGCTCTGGCTGCTTCCAGCATTTCCATGCCCCTTTGTCTCTGGGTGGTTCCCCTATGGAGCCTGGCTCTCTGCTTCTTAGGGAGTTGGAACTTTCCTTTGTGTTTTGTGGCTGGAGAGAAGTCTAGGTCTCCCAGAATCTTATTGGCTCTTTGTTTTTCATGCTGTTGTGACGTAGTTTGTGTGAAGTTTTACAAGCCCTGTGGCTTGGGTTATCTCGCCAACAAGAGCGAGGTTACAACCTGCTTCCTTTGAAGCAGGGCACGTCCTCTTAGGAAAAGGAATCACCTCTTAAGAAAACACAAAGACAAACTCACACAGTCTAATGTAAGTACAGGCGGAGATAAGCGTCCTTGCAGCACTTTGCTTCTGGCACGCAGGTCGACCAAGGGCTGTTTGATGTACCCACATGACACAAGGCTTCCTTGTGCCCACGGCCCACTCTCTTTCTTCCTGCAGATTATCTCTGGATAGCACGGAGGCAGAGCTGCACTCCCTGTCTGTCAGAACACGATCGCTCAGGGAAAACATCCAGCAGGATGGAGAACTTTGTCAGCAGATGGAAGATTTCCTTCAGGTCAGTAGGCGAGTCAAGTCCGTCCCTCTGATTTCTTCTGCCACCGGTCTGCTAAGGCTGCTTACATTGGCACGGGCAGGCGTGTTTGCGGAAGAGGCAGGTTCCCAGTTGTCTCTTCCCTTCAATCAGTTCAAGGAACTTTATAATTCTCTGACCATTGTTTGCCGGGTGTATATGTGTGTGTGTATGTTGATGCAGAGAATATTGAGTATGATCTAAAGGAATGTCTCTAAGGATCCAACCTTTGCTTATCATTGCTTCATTTGCCTGGGACCTGGTACCACCTCAGGTACCAAGCTTGATCTGTGCCTGGCAACGTAAGTGTTGGTTAGAACCCATGGTTTAGGAGCCTGCGGTGGGCTAACCACTGAAAGGTCAGTGGTTCAAACCCACCAGCCACTTTGTGGGGAAAAGATGAGGCTGTCTGCTCTTGAGAAGATTTAGAGCCTCAGAAACCCACAGGGCAGTTCTGCTCTGTCCGCTGTCACTGTGAGTTGGAATCGACTCACTGGCCGTGAGCTTGGCTGTTTGGAGTTTGGTCTCCCAAGCAAACTTTTGGAGAGCAGAATGGAGTTCCACAGAAACAGTCGAAAAGACCTCTTTGAACATGGGAGGTGGCACGGCACCTCCCTCACGTGTTTTTCACGGGAGAACGAAGCTCCCTTCTGGGCTGTTGGGTACCAAGAGCAGTTGAATCCACAGCACCCAACATACATGAGCCCCACAGGGCGTGTCAGAGCGACTCGGAATCCCATCAACCAGAGGCAGAGGGTGTTTGTGACAACTCGTTGTGACTCACTAATTACATAGTCTGACATGCTTCTTTTATCTTCCTTATTTAAAGCAAAGCTGGCCCCGTTCACACTCGTCGTCCTCAGCAGAACTGCGCTCCTTTAAATGACCCTGGGCTCTGAGGCCCGTGAGGGGGAATGTGTGTGGCCACCTGCCTGTGGCGCTACATACATATGTACAGCATGCTCCAGCGGCTGCGCCAGGGTGACCTCCTCATGAAGCTGAAGCACACAGTCTGGAGGGTTCACCCCCCCCACGGCCCCCCACTCCCCCCACCCCTCCAACAAACACTTAGCCTTGCCCTGCCTCTGCTGTGAGTTTATTCTTATTATTCAACAGGGGCCCTGGATTTTATATCAGGTGTAGCCCAGCATTTAGTGCCCCATCTTGAGGCCGCAGGCTATATTCAGAGCACTGGACAACAAAATCAAAAACCCAAACTCCCGGCCATCGAGTCCATGCCGACTCTTGGTGACCCTGTAGGGCAGGGGGGATTGCCTCTGGGGTTTCCAAGACTGTCTCTCTCGACAGGCATAGAAAGTCCCGACTTTCTCCTGCCGAGCAATTGGTGTTTTCGAACTGCAGATATTTCAGATCGCAGCCCAACGTGCAACCGCTGCCCCACCAGGGCTTCTCCTACAGTGGACGCAGCCGGGGGCATAAGGCCAAGTCAGAAGCTCAGAATGGGACCAAGTGCAGGCCAAGATGAGAAGTCGGAGTGGCTCACTCTCCACAACTTCTCACGCTGAACACTAACATCTCACCCCAGATAGGAATTCGGGAAGATTTACACCTAAGCTGCTGTGCTTACCCTCACCTGCAGAATGCTGCTCAGAGGCAAGTTTCTCAGCTTTCGAAATTTTGAAAGCCTTCTGGTAATCAATCTCACCTCTCTAGATAAAATGCTTCATAGAGCTACGTATTTTTCACAATTCATTATTATTATTTTTTGGAATGGGTGAGATAAAATGTTTGAAGGCTGGTGAGGACTAACAAGGCCATGGAGCTCAATCAGCAGTCTCCACACTATGGACTTGATTCTCTAAGCACTTGGGAAACAATGAAGTTTTTTGAGCAGAAAGTGACAGTGGTACCCCCTTTTTTTTAGGATCATTTGCACAACTTTAACTCTTTGGGCTGAAATTCTTCATGGATCTGTTTAGTAAAGTTTAATTCGATGCCTTCTTCTGTCATTCGCAGTTTGCCCGTGCAGCTTTGGATTTTTATTAATCC